CAAATAGTTATGGGTGTCTGCTTCTGCTTCCATCAGATACTGGATGAGAGCTCTAGGATGGAATATACGGTAGTCATGAATCTCATTATCCAAGAAGGTAATTTAGGCAGCCTGCCCACTATTGCTCAAATTGCTAGCTTGGATCATCCTTGTAGGCCTCTGGACATTTCCCTAGTGGCAGATGTTTTTAAGCCTATAATGGCTCCCTCTATTATGGTGTCTTTTTTCTTGATCTCCTCTATTCTTCCCTGGATGCAATCTTCCTGCTCCCTCATGTTCTTCTCTCCCCTTCCCTTCTCTTTCTCCTAACTCCCTCCCCACTCACCCTGCCCTCCAAGTTTGCTCAGGAGATCTTGTCCCTTTCCCCTTCTGTGGGGGACCATCTATGTGTCTCTTAGGGTCTTCCTTTTTTCCCTGCTTCTCTGGAATATGAATTGTAGGCTGGTGATCTATGTACAAAATTCAGAGCGAAAACAAAGAGATACCATAATAGAGGGAACAATCATAGGTTTGAAGAGAAAACTGATTCCAGAGAAATATCCAAAGACCTACAAGGATGACCCCAACAATCTGAGCAATAGTGGAAAGGCTACCATCAAATTCCTTTCTTGATAATGAGATTGGGAACTACCTCGTATGCCACCATAGAGCCCTTAACTAGTAGCTGATGAAAAGAGAAGCCGACACACACAGCTAAAGACTGAACCGAACTCCTGGAATCCAGTTGCAGAGAGGGAGGAGTGATAAGAAAAGGGGTAAAGACCAGGCTACGGAAACCCTCAGATACAGCTGACCTGAACAAGTGGGATCTCATGAACCCACCAGATTGATAACTGGAAAACCAGAATTGAACCAACTCAGACCCCCTGAACGTGCATCTCAGTTAGAAGGCCTGGGAAGTCTAACAGACCTCTGACAATGGAACCTGTAAGAAGTACGGTTTTTCCGCCTGCTGCCGCCCGGTCTTGTCCCGCCACCGCGCAAGCCCCAATTAACACACAGAGACTCTGTATTTGATACAATGCTGTTGGCCCTGTTACTTGTTTTTTATCGGCTAGCTCTGCCTTAATTATTAACCTATTTCTGCTGATCTATGTATTTCTCTTACCGGGGAGCCGGGGGCATACTGCTTTCTTCAGACTCTCCATCTTGACTCCTCCTAACTACTTCCTATTTCCTCCTTGTCTCCTAGTCCCTCCTATCTTCCTTTCCTATTGGCCAACAGTGCTTTATTATTAACCAGTATGAGAAACATACAGAATGACATCTCCCATCAGGAACCAGAATGTATCCCTGGTGCAAGAAAGGACTTTGGGAGTGCATTCCCCATAGCTGGGATATTCCCTTAGCCTAGAGGGAGGAGGGAGGGCCTAGCGTCTACTCCAAATGACTTAAGTCGAATTTCTTTGTTTGTAATTCCTTCTTTTTTCTCTTTTCTTTCTGACAAACTGTTTCATACAGATCAAGAATGCCTCAAATGGGATATTTCTGCCACATCCTCTTTCCTGTCATGCAGTGTTGGCAATAAAAATAGAGGTTCAAAAATGCAAAACAATACATTACCAACTAAGCTATGCTGGTGGATATAAGAGTTACTTTGATGCCATAACTGCCACTTTGGCCTTTATTTAATCTCAGATATCTGCATCATTATTTGCCTCCACTAAGGCTTCTGCCCCTGAGCTTATGATGAAGCAGAAAGACATGCAAATTATGTTACTTTCTGCCCATGCGAACCAGCCTTGATGCTACAGCTCTGACAGAGGCACCCGGGTCTGAACTCATAGGTGCTCCCATTCTGTGGTCATCAATGCACACACAGCACTCAGCATGAATATGACACTGAGCTTGGATTTCCTTGTTGCTCCTTTAAAAGGTAATTCGTAGATACAGAAGAATACTGAACATATGAGTGGACACAAGTAAGAGGAACATTAGTCATTTTTGAGAGTTTACTGACATGATACTCTTTGCAAAGTTCTCCCGTGAGAGTTGCGGCTGGTGGAGTTGGGAGAAGGCTTGGTACAGCTTAGAAAGTTCCTGAAACTCTCCTGTACAACTTCTGGTTTCACCTTCAGTGACTATTGGATTGCTGGGTCCGCCAGCCCCCTGAGAAATGTCTAAAGTGGGTTGGTAAAATTAAACATAAATCTAATACTTATTCAACACAATATGGGGAGTAGGTGACTGGCAAATTCACCATATCAAGAGATGACTCCAAATGCAGCCTCTAGCTGCAAAAGAACAACTTAAGTGGCAATGTCAGCGCTGTTTATTACTGAACTACAGACCCAGTGAGAGGACTTCAGTGTGAACCCTGACCGAAACCTCCTGCCAAAGTGCTCATAACCAGCAGGGGGCGCAGGTCACACATGTATGGGAGGGGCAGTGCAGGAAAAGGTGCAGAAATAATTGAGTGCTGATGTATATGGTCACAGCTCTCACCCCGCCTACTAATTTCTTGGGATGATTTCTGTATTTATGCTCTGTGAAATCAGTGATAACAGAGTTCTCTTTTTCCACAATTTAAAATAGACACACTATACAGTGTAAGGTGAATTAGATGTAAATAGCCTCACCTCTGGTAGCAGAAACGACTCTGGCAAGGACAAAGGATCAAACGCTGAGGAAGATCTGCAGTGATGGTGATAGTTTTCCCTCATGAGATTCAGGGCAAAGCCTAGTGGTGTTCAGTTAGGACAGTGCTTGGGATTAGGGGGGACACAGGGAGTTTAGGCATCATTGTTGGGTGGTGTAGTGGGCAATTGTAATAGAGTCCTCAAATGCCCAAATAAAGGGAAGTGAGGTATTCCGGGGGAAGTCACTCACTAATGAAAACTAAGGTAGAGAAACAACTAGATCTTCTGCCCAGAGCCCTAGAATCTGAGACCTGATTAACAAACAGCACCCAATACAAAAGGCCCCCTCCAAGTCTAAAAGTAGCACCTGAGACTCTAACAGGAAGGGGCTGGTATCTCGAAGACTATTGGGTGAATGCGTTCCCATAAAGGGATATGGCCATAAGAAGTTGGAATGCTGGATCAGTCCAGGCTGACCAGGCTCTCAGAAAACTTTTAGGGCTAGGGACATATGGGCATCCGTTGGACAATTTATGAGTCAGGACCCGCTAGTGTGAGCCATATTATACTTGTCCCACATGGGGTGAGCACTTTAAACTTATTGGAACACGTGGAGCTATTTGTTGGCGCAGTAGGCAGTTAATTTAAATGTGATACAACAGATAGACTAGGGAGAAGGGGTAAAATAAGAAGTTTAGGGAAATTTTTATCTGGGTATACATTTGAAAGTTTGAGGCCCATGGTCCTCATGATTGAGAGAGAGGAGACCTAATATCAGGGAGACAGGACAGAGACAGAGAGTGAAGGAGATCCCATCCTCAGAATTTGTGAAAGCAAACAGGTGTTCTAGGGAACACAGAGAAGCTGAGGTGTTCTGAAAGTTTCTCTAACAGAGGCAGTGCCTTGGTTTATCAGGAACTGGAAGACACAGTGTTCCAGGAACCAAGGGGTCTAACGTGGAAACCTCCAACATATGCCTCTCAAGGACCAAGTCCATGATTCCATGCAAAATGTGATGGGTGCAAAAATAACAATATGGTTAATTTTCAAAGGTATAGTGACCTATCATGTCAAAATTCTGTGCATTTACTCTGTAGCACTAGTGGGCAGTTAATGACCTGGATCTAAATGCCAGCAGGAAAGCCCCTGGTGTGAGAGGAATATTAGTGATAGAGACAGCACTTAATATCAGTCTCTGGCACATACATTCAGTAGTCCAGGTTAACAGGAGCCTTTATTTTTTTCTGAAGTTAAGGATTGTGAACACTGAAGTAGCAGGAATGTGTTACTGCTGAAACTATACCATAAAATCTGAGAGTGAGCCAAGACACACCAAATTGAAGGGGTCCTCGGGGCTAGAAGGGGTCCCAGTGGGACCCCAAATCAGCAGGACAGAAATCACAGGAGAGGTGGGGACTTCATAGTCTCTGTGAACTATTTTTAAAACTCTATGGACTGAATGACTCCTACTGCAGTTGCAATATAAAGTCTCCAATATTCAAACACAGTAAAAATTCTTTGCTAAATTTTCCATGCTGTATTTTCTTGTTTGTTTTGGTAAGATTTATTAATTTTTGATATTAGAAAAAAATTTTCATTTTTTTCCTTTTTTTATTTATTTATTTTATATAACCAAGCTCATTTAAATGAAAACAAACATTTATAGAAAATATTTGGGAATTTGGGTGTTGTTCTTTCCAAATTACTTCCTGCTGGTAAGGGGCGCTGTCATGGGGGATTCTAAGAAGATGCAGAAATCCTGGCTGTAGTCTGTAATGCTGCTTTGTCCAGCTGTTTTGAATGTAGGATCACCTGAATTTTCAGGGCACAATTTCATTGTCCAGTTCTTCTCTGATCTTTCCTACCTCCTATCCACTCAACATTCTTTATCTCTATAAAAAGCAAACATATAGACAAAAAAAGTAAAGGATAGAACATCAAACACTACACACACACACACACACACACACATACACACACACATACACACAAGAAACACATAATGGCAACCAGCTGGCAAAGAAAATATTATGTGTTCATGAGAGAAGAATACAAATTCAACTAATTGAGGAGAATTTGAAATATTCAATCACAATTATTACCCCAGCTGAAACCAATTTTGTCACTAGGAGGACCAAATGCCAAGTGTCTCATATTGATATTCTATTTGTAAATTGAGGGATTAGGTTCAAGTTATATCCACAGGGTCTGTACAGGCCTCAGGGACTACTGCTTCCTCAGACAGGTTGAGGACTTGCACCTCAGGATTCTACTGCCTGACCCAGGTTTTCTCCACCTCCTTCTCCCTCAGGGAACTAGGTTCTTATCTAAGAAGCACCCTGCTGACGAATATGCAAATCATGTGAGTCTATGGCATTAAATACAGGGATGTCCACACCACCAACAACATATGACCAGTGTCCTCTCCACAGTCACTGAGCACACAGGTCCTCACCATGGGATGGAGCTGGATCATTCTCTTCCTGGTGACAGCAGCTACAGGTAAGGGCTCCAAGTTCCAGGCTTGAGGAGGGGCCATGCACTCAGGTGACAGTGACATCCACTCTGCCTTTCTCTCCACAGGTGTCCACTCCCAGGTCAAGCTGGAGCAGTCTGGGGCTGAGCTGGTGAAATCTGGGTCCTCTATGAAGTTGTCCTGCAAGGCTTCAGGCTACACCTTCACTAGCTACTATATCAGCTGGCTGAAGCAGAAATCTGGACAGGGCCTGGAGTGGATTGGAAATATTGGTTGTGGAGGTGGTGGTACTTACTATAATTCAAAGTTCCAGGGAAAAGCCACACTGACTGTAGACACATACTCCAGCACAGTGTACATGGAGCTCAGCAGCCTGACATCTGAGGACTCTGCAGTCTATTACTGTGCAAGACACACAGTGTTGTAACCACATCCTGAGTGTGTCAGAAACCCTGGAGGAGCAGGAAGCTGCGACGACAGAGAAGATCAGCCTGGACACTACACGAAAATAACTATTCTGTATGTCCCATTGTCTGTACTTCAGAGTCATATGGAATACTTGTCATAAGTTTGAAAGAACATCAGAGAATGAAGTTATGCTGATTCAGGAAGTCCATTATGAATATCATAAACTGTGTAGGTCTTTATCCTTGACCACCTCAGTTGACATATATTTCTTCTTTAGAGAAAAACACCAAAAAAAAAAAAAATCAAGCTCTGGCTATATATATATATATTACATTAGGATATATATATATATATATATATATATATATATATGTATATATATGTGTATATGTGTATATGTGTATATGTGTATATGTGTATATGTGTATATGTATATATGTATATATGTATATATGTGTGTATATACATATATATGTATATAAAAATGTGTGTGTGTGTCTGTGTCTGTGTCTGTGTCTGTGTCTGTGTCTGTGTCTGTGTGTGTCTTTAAATCTAGTTTCTAGACTGTGGAGTATCTGGGAATACACTATAATATAAAATTGCCCACTAAAATTCAAATCATAATTATCAGATCAAGCTAAAATCCCTTTCAAAATTCAGTATGAGGTAGCTAACCCCACTCTTAAAACCATTGGAAGTTGTCCCTATAGATTTGTGAGGAATCACTTTATCTTTCCTTGTAAATCTAATTTTATATATTTATTTTTAAGTAAGTCTAAACCTGAATTTATTTTTTTAATGGTAACCAAACTTCTTATTATTTTTTAGTTAGAGATGTACCTGCATGTCATGTTGTGGAGTTCGCAGGGTGTGGAGTCTTCTACTTTGGAAACATTTTGGGGTTCCGATGTTATTGTATGTAAAGTGTTAGTGTCCCAACAAAAAGGTCGCAAATAATTAAAAACCTGTCTGTCCTATAGTTCAGGCTTATTCCTATTTGGCTTTTACATTTAAATTTGTCCATTCATATTAATCCATGTGTTTCCATCTATGTATGGCTTTCACTGGTCCGATGGAATCTCCTGTACACCACACATCTTTATCTCTGCATTTTTTGCCTTTACCACTTAGCTATATTCTGCCTTGTTATAGGCCAGATTTGCTTTTATTATCAACCAATGAGAGCCACAAATGTTCACAACATATGTGGGTGTTAAACCACAGTATGTCCCCTTACTGTCCAACCCAAAAGTAAGCTTTTACCTTTAACGTAATAAAATAACAGACAACAAAACTGTTGCCAAGGAAATATTACACTTACCATACATAGTCCTTATGTAGGAGACAGAAGTAAAGAAAATATTCAAACATCTAACTTGGTGAATTTACTATTTTATATCTATTTGACCTTTTCACCATAACAATGAAAAACTAAAGGGGGAAATGCTTCAAGAATCTGTCTTTGGTCGGATAGACAATTTTATTTATTTGTTTGGTGGTTTGTTTGTTTCTAATTTACATATTGATCCCAGGTCCCTATCCATGCCTCCCTCCCTCTTTCCATCTCTTCCCCCCTCACAGACACCTGGACAACCCTCCCCTCCCATCAGTACACCACTACACATGTAGGGTGATACCCTCTAGGAAGGGTCACTTAATCTATCAAGTAATTTGAAGTAGGGACAAAGACTTCTCTCCTGTCTCTAGGGTAAGAGAGTATCACTCCACAGGGGATGTACACGCAAAGTCATTTTGTGCACAAGGGTTACATCCTGGTTCCACTGTAGGAGGACCCTTAGACTGCTAAGGCATTGTAGCTGACACCCATGTTCAGGGTGTCTGAGCAGTCCCATGATGGAATCCCAGCTATCAGTCTTGGGGTCCATTAGCTCTTCCTTTTTCAGGTAAGCTGTCTCTGTGTGTTTCTGCAGCGTGGTCTCCTTCTCCCTCTCTGCATCTGGATTCTAGTTCAGCTCAGTGTTTAGTTGTGGGTGTTTATTTCTGTTTGCATCAGGTACTAGATGAGGGCTCCATGATGGTGGATAAGTTAGTTCTTGGTCTCCTTATCAGGAAAGGGCATTTATGGTAGCCTTTCCACTGTTGCTCAAATACTTAGTTGGGTTAGTCGTGTAGGTCTATGGACATTTCTTTAGGTCCAGTTTTCTCTTCAATCATATAATGGCTCCATCTTTTATTCTCTCTCTCTCTCTCTCTCTCTCTCTCTCTCTCTCTCTCTCTCTCTCTCTCTCTCTCTCCTATTCCTCCCCTGACTCAATCTGCCTAGTCCAATGTGCTTTCATCTCCTCCCCTTCTCTTACTCCTAGTTCTCAACTCTCTGCCCTCCCACTCCCCATGATCTCTGGAGAACTTCCTTCTTCTGTGAGGGACCTTGCACGAATCTCTTAGAATCCAGCTTGTATCCCACTTCCTCTGGCAGTGTGAATTACAGGCTGTTCATCCTCATTCAGACCGGGTTACCTCATTCAGAAAGGTTTCTTCAAGTTCTATCCACTTGCCTGCAAATTTCAAAATTCCATTATTTTTGTTACGCAGAGTAGTATTCCATTGTATAGATGTGATACCTCTTCTTTATCCATTCTTCATTTGGGGGGCATCTAAGTTCTTGCTATTACAAATATGCTGCTATGAACAGAGTTGAGCACATGTCTTTGTAACATGGATGTGGATCATTTGTGTATATGCCTAAGAGAGGGGTTGACAGGTATGTGGTAGACTGATTCCAATTTTCCTGAGGAACCACCATACTGATCTCCAAAAAGGCTGTACATGATTGCACTCCCACCAGCAGCCGAGGAGTGCTCCCCTTTCTCCACATCCACTCCAGCATAACTTGTCATAGGTGTTTCTAATTTTAGCCACTTTGGCAGGAATGAAATGGATTCTCAAAGTTCTTTTGATTTGCATTTCCCTGATAGCTAAGGATATTGAGCACATTCTAAAGTGTCTTTCAGCTTTTTTGACTTCCTCTATTGAGAATTATCTCTTTAGTTCTGTCCCCATTTTTTAATGGGATTGTTTGGTGCTTTGTTGACTAATTTCTTGAATTCTTTGTGTATTTTGGAGATCAGCCCTCTGTCAGATGTAGGATTGGTGAAAATATTTTCTGAGTATGTGGGCTGCCATTTGGTCTTGTCCACTGTGTCCTTTGCCTTACAAAAGTGTCTAAGTTTGAAGAGGTCCCATTTATTAATTGTTGATCTCAACGTCTGTGCTACTGGAGTTATGTTCAGGAAGCAGTCTCCTATACCAATTTGTTCAAGGGTACCTCCCACTTTCTCCTCTAAAAGGTTCAGTTTGGCTGGATTGATGTTGAGGTCTTTGATCCATTTGGACTTGAGTTTTGTGCATTGGGACAGACTTGGGTCTATCTGCAGTCTTCTACACACCATCATCCAGGTGTGACAGCACAATTTGTTGAAGATTCTTTCTTCCTCCCAGTGTATACTTTTAGCTATTTTGTCAAAAATCAGGTATTTGTAGGTTAATATCAGGATTTTCAATTTGATTCAATTGATCTACTTTTCTATTTTTGTGCCATGCCCATACCAGGCTGTTTTCAGGACTGTAGCTCTGTAGTATAACTTAAAGTTGAGGATGGTGATGCCTCCTGAAGTTCCTTTATTTTACAGGGTTGTTTTGGGTATCCTGGGTCTTCTGTTTTTACATATAAAGTTGATTATTATCCTTTCAAGGTCAGTGAAGAATTGTACTAGGATTTTAATGGGGATTGCATTGAATCTGTAGATTGCTTTTGGCAAGATTGCCATTTTTCTATGTTTATCCTACATATCAAAGAGCATGGGAGATCTTTCCATTTTCTGGTGTCTTCTTTAATTTCTTTCATTAAAGACACAAAATTCTTATTACCTAGGTTTTTCACCTGTTTGGTATGTGTTACCCCAAGATACCTTTTGCTGTTTGTGGCTATTGTAAAGGGTTATCTTTCTCTGATTTCTTTTTCAGCTCCTTTTTCATGTGAATGAAGGAGGAATACTGATTCTTTTCTGAGTTTATCTTGTATGCTGCTATTTTGCTGAAGGTGTTCATCAGATGAAGGAGTTCCCTAGCAGAGAAGTTTGGTCGCTGATGTAAACTATCATATCATCTGCAAATAGAGAAAGTTTGACTTCTTCCTTTCCAATTTGGATCCCCTTGATCAACTTTTGTTTTTATTGCTTTAGCTAGAACTTCAAGTATAATATTGAAGAGATATGGAGAGATAGGTCAAGCTTTCCTTGTTCCTGATTTTAGAAGAATCGCCTTAACCTTTTCTCTATTCAGTTTGATGTTGGCTGTTGGTTTACTGTATATTTCTCTTATTATCTTTAGGTATATTCCTGTTATCCCTGATGTCTTTAAGACCTTTATCATGAAAGAGTTTTGAATTTTGGTGAAGGCTTTTTCAACATCTAGGGAGAAGATAATGTTTTTCTTTTTCAATTTGTTGATATTGTGGATCACGTTGATATGCTTTTGTATGTTAAACGATCACTTCAACCCAAGGATGAAACCTACTTGGTCATGGTGGAAGACTTTTCTGATGTATGCTTGGATTCAGTTTGCCAGTATTTTATTGAGTATTTTTGCATCAGTGTTCATGAGGGATATTGGTGTGTAGTTTCCTTTCTTAGTTGTGTCTTTGTGTGGCTTGCATTCCAAGGTGATTGTAGCCTCACAAAAAAAAGTTTGGTAATATACCTTCTGTTTCTACTGTGTGGAATAATTTGAGGAATATTGGCATTAGCTCTTCCTTGAATTTCTTTTTTTTTATATACATTTGTAAATTTTATTATGTAAGTTACATTTTCTATATATCTATAAGTACATATACACACACAAGTGTGGTCACCCTGCTTTCATTCTTGGCATCTATTCTCATAGTTCCCAATCAGGAAATAGGTTCCATTTCCTGTGTTTTGAATCTTCACACATCTGCAGGTCTTGCAACTCACCGAAGCCAATAAAGTACAGTAGAAATGACACTATGCCTTTACAAAC